TTTTGATACAATTGAGTTATAGCTGATGTAGTTGATGTTCAGTCTGTTGGACCTGTTATAGCACTCCTGTAATCCCTTTTTTCCAAATTAAAAACTTTAGGGCTGAAGGAGTTATGTACTGTTAACATTTAGTGATAGAATGTAGTGACACAAATTCACCTCTGCTTTCTAATGTCAGTCATATTTTAGTAATGACCTAATAACATGCAGTAACTGAAGGCACTAGGAATCTGTTATTTCCTAGACATCCACTATGTAAGACAATGGCTGTGTTACTGCATTGTTATGCCATTTAACAGTGAAACTATAGAAGCTTTTAGTAGCTATTTGTTGGAAAGAAAACCAGTCACATGGAAGATGAGGAGACTGTAAACCTTAACAAAATTAGTTTTGTGCAGCCTTTCTTCTATGGCTCAACTAGGGGTTGAATTGATCACTGCACAAAACCTTTCAATGTCTTTTATAATTACATGTAGGTGTTCACTGTTTTTATAGTAACACTGTTACAGTTATCATTTTCCTTAAAGCAATTACAAGTGTATTACTGTTAAGTTAAAAGGAAGTAAATAACAAGCCTGCACAGACTTCCAATGTACTTTTTGAGGTTGTGTCACAATATCAAAGCCTTCAAATTATAGCTTTCCTCTTACAGGCATGTCTTTTAGAGATTTACCCCTTTTGTAAGATATGATCAGTGCTTTATAAAGGTCATTTGTGTCTTCTGTTAAATCAAGGAAAAATTACATAGATTCATTTTTTTGCAGTCATTTGTTATTGAACTGATTAAATGAATAAAATGCTGAGTTTTCTGTGGACTAAAAAAGGCAACAACAGCTAATTACATTGATTGCATGCTCTAAAAGCACTCATGTGGTAACTTTATTTGACAATTCATGTCACTTCACTTTTGTTTGATTGTATTAACATTTTCAGAAACTAGGATAATCCTGCAACAATTTTTCCTGCTTTCACACTTTCATGAATTATGATGAGATGATCACTACATAAACAGCAGCTCTTATCAGTAGGATCAGCTTTATGTAGTCCACAGTAGCAGTAGTTACTGTCATTAAAAACCCTTTGAGGAATGTGAACATATTTACTAGGGATAAAAGAACAAGGATCATAATACTGTTCAGGTAACCAGACCAACATAATAAATCCAGGGTTGGACACTTAATTTTGAGAGCACTCGCCATTCGGGCGAGTAACCCTCAAAATGCACTCGCCCGGATAAGTTTTCACTCGCCCAAAAGTTTATAGAATATAATAATATAGAATACAGCATTGGCCTGATAAACAAGATTCTTAGAAAAAGAAATACTAAGGAAAAAGCTTGGCAACTTTTTTTATAACACCTGCCTGTACCTGTACGGCATGTAGTAAAGTCTTTTGAAGCAGTAAGCGTTTTCAGTGGTCATGGAAAACACACGCACATGCAAATTTCCTATGAACCTGTAGTTTAAGCCTGTGATGACTTCAAAATTTTGATGCACACCTCAAAAAGAGAACAAATAAGTTTCGAGTTTCTATTTATTCAGGTTAGGTTAGTGAGGCAAAAAATTCAGTCAAATATTCATACAACGACACGTTCAAGAAATTTTCCCAACTAATTTTATTGGGTTAGCCTACCTAGGAAAATCGCCTTCATGTACAAATTAGACCAGGTTTGTACTGATGATGCCCGAAAGAACTATCTGTGGTTAAAGGGTAGGCTTTCCTTTCTTCACTTAAAAAAATACGGATTTTATAAGCTCAGTGGAAAGTGAGAGTGAATGAGACTGATAGTGAATAATTTATTTGAATAAATTTCCAGAGAAGGATAAAAAGTAAGATGTGGTCCGCACAACTCTCTCATTTTCATTTTTTAACCTATAAAGCTAATTCTTGCTTTGTGCATTATGTTGACGCCAGTTAATTTAATTTTCAGGTGTCAAAATACAAAAAATGTTCTCTTCGTCTATTTGCCCTAAACATTACAGGGGAGGAGGCAAGTCAAAGTAAAAACATAAAATAAAATGCGAGGAGTCCCATCAATTTCAGTCCTAATTAAAGGAGAATCCTTGTTTTTCCAGATACCCACTATAATTTTGTGAAGTGCGGTTGATAACGGAGAGTGCTTTATTTCCGCATACTGAAAATAGTCAGGGAAACAAACATGTATGAACAACGTTCAAGAATGTAATAAGTTATGCATTATCCATTGGTTGGAATAAAAATTCCTCACTTTACCGAATGTGAGTTAACATTTCAGATAGCGCAACTTGCTAGCTTTGCCATACAAAAGAATGATACGCATGCCCCGTATACTATTGTCCTATAGTGATTGTAAGTAATTGGAGCCACATCAGCCGGCCAACAGCAACCTATAGTGAACTAAATGTCGTGCGACGCATTCGAATGATTCATCGACAACGTACATTGATTACACTTTATAGACAGTACAGTTACAGCGTCAACTAACATTTCAAATTACTTTTGCGCTCTATGGCCTAAACGACGCGTTGAGCTATTCACGAACGTAGTGGAGATTCCGCAAAGTTCACCACGCAGATTTTTTATTTCTTACTTTCGCTAGTTGTTATTATTGCTATTTGGCAGGCTGCAATCCCCTCTTGTGGTGAACTGACCGATTTATTCTTCTGGCTTGCGGAATTTTTCGCAGGGATTCTTGTCTCGCAGATTACAGATTTCTATTTCGCAAATCAATAGCGTATTTCTATTTCGCAAATTACAGATTTTCATTTCGTTTCGTTTCGTTTCGAAAATTACAGTAAGCCCTTCACACAACAAGCGTCCCAAGCTCACGTTTTAAGAAAGAGCAAACGATTTATTCATGAACGCGTCACGCGTTGTGTAACCCGGTGTTATTCCTGTTACACGACAACGGTGGAAATCGAATTGTGCAGCTTTGACTTCGTCTTAGAACTGGAATAACAGTGATGGCAAAGCAAGCTTAAAACGGCAAAGAACACCGGAAACCACAACGGACACAGAAGATATGAGTAACTTCTTTTGATTTTAAATGTAAAATATTCATATTTCGAAATATTTATCGTTGTAAATCGACCATATTTCTTTCCCCGTTTTATTCCTTATAACGTGTTTAAATTCTCAACTGTTCCTCTCGTAAGTTAACACCGAGTCACACAACGCGTGACGCTTTCATGAATTAATCGTTTGCTTTTTCTTGAGACGTGAGCTTGGGACGCCTTTGTTCACACGAACTATCACAAGAATCCTTGCATCTCTCTGCCATTTTTCTTTCGATATATTAACGAGTAAAGTTAGAAATTAACCAGGCGCTAATCTTGAATGCTCCAAGTAATGGGCTCAAGTAATGGGCTCCTGCGCTGGTACTATTATTAACTCGCTCACATGCATGGAACGTTTGATAAGCCCATGCATGCTCAAGGTTATTAACTTCCCTGATTAACAAAGCATAAAGTTTTTAAGAAAAAATTGCAAAACGCATTAATCAAACAAGATAATCAGAATTCCACCTCTCAGAACTTTTACTCTACTTAAACCGTTAATCATCGTCACTGCGCCAGAAAATTTATCAAAAAAGGAGTTTTAAGCATGCGATGACGACACGATTTCCATTGTGATGTGGTCGTGGTAACATAAACATTCCACATAAACGACAAGAAAGACATCCCGCTTAGACGGTCACTAACGCAGATCTGGCAGTGGCTGATTTTTTTTTGTCGGGATGATTTTATGTACAATTCTTCTGTATGTTCGAGACTTTTTAACCCATTAAGTATTTTTTTCAAGAATCACATCAATCTTCTAAATAATGGGAGTAAGTTTCTAAAGAAAGTATGGTGCTGCATCGGTGGGAGAGTAAATGAAGGATAAATATCAATTAATCAACGCTGGTACTATTTTTAACCAGCTCACATGCATGGAACTTTTGACAAGCCCATGCATGCTCAAGGTTATTAACTTCCCTTCTACAACGCATGAATCAAACAAAATAACCAGAATTCCACCTCTCAGAACTTTTACTCCACATAAACCGTTAATCATAGCCACTGGGCCAGACAATTTCTCAAAGAAGTAGTTTAAACACACGATGACACGATTCCATCGTGATATGGTCAGGGTGAAAACATTCCGCATAAACAACAAGAAAGACATCTCGCTTCGATGATCACTTCACACTGATCTTTTGTAACTAGGAGAAAGAAACCAAGTTTCTCAAGCAGCAAATTATAAAAAAAGTACTGAATGGGTAAAAGATTATGAAAAAAAAAAAGAAAAAAACCTTCTGATTTCACCTGAACTGTTTTCTGGCCTCTACTGTTTTATTTGAGGGCGGGTGCGACGAAAGAGATGAAATGTTACACTTGTCAATGAATTTAAATAGTTTTTCTGAAACTCTCACTGTCCTAAACTTAGGTGGGTCTTTCGTAAGAACGATAGAGTTCGAACAGCAATGCGAAGTGTATTACGTGGTGTCTTATGAAATTTTGTGGCCTTTACGGTCCGTGGCAAGAATGCTAATTACGCAAACCTACTACGCTGGTATTATTTTTAATCAGCTCACGTGCATGTAACTTTGACAAGCCCGTACATGCTCAAGGTTATTAACCTTACGTGGTTAACCAAGCATAAAGTTTAAAGAAAAAAATTGTAAAACCGAAGAAAATAGCCACAACTTTTCTCTGGCCTCTACCTTATTTGACGGTGGATGTTAAGAGAAAAAAGAAAAGTTACGCTTGTCACTGAATTTAAATCATTTCTCTCTAATTCTAGCTGTACTAAACTTATGTGGGCCCTATGTGAGATTGACAGAGTTCGAACTTCGATGCGAAGTATATTAAATTTTTCATTCGAATGTTTATGAACTTTTGTGGCCTTTGTGGCCGTAGGCAAGACTGCTTGAGAAATGGAGCGATTTCTTTTGTCAGAAAAGGAACATAAATGCATTCCGAGGCATTCTCTTAATACCTTTATAAAAGGAACTGATACTTCGAGAATCATCAGTCGCACACAAACACCTTGAGAACGTCAAGTCACGAACCGTTTTTACAGGAAACTATTTCTATGCGCACTACAGGTGAGTAGAGTTTCACTTTTAACTATAAACTTGAGAACAATTTTGCTGATACTAATTAACTACTTCACCAAAATACTTCAAACTAGAGAAAGCTAAGACAAACTTACTGAAAAATACTATGGGAAAATTCGTTACCTGACGAGGGAGTTCTGCGTTAAATTGCACGCGAAAACCGAGCGCGATATCGGTGTTTTTGAATCGCATAATTGAATGAAAATAAGAAAAAAAGTAATCAGTAACAATATTGTTTGTTTTTATCCTGAGTGCGCGCTCCAGGAAGACATTTCAAAGTCAACTGTCATAACTTTCATTGCATTAGCGAATAGGAAGCAAGATCAATCGTTCACTTTTGAATCTTCGACATTTTTATTTGTACCTTGTGCTTGTTTTTACAGTTGTTTTCAAACTTTTAAAACAGGCTTCACACTATCCTAAGGGTAATATTGGTATTTCACTGAATTTAGTAGCTGTTTATTTCTAACATCTTTTTTTTTAATTTGCTTGAAAAGGAAAATGGTTTTTTTCTTTTACCTCTTAAGTGGCAAAACTGAAGGAAATGGAATGTCCAAGCGAAAGCACTGAAAGTTTAACAATGCGATGAAAGATATTTATTTATTCTTCTGTATATATGACAATCGACCCTGGCACTTCCGTTGTTGCTTCTTCGTCTTGTTAGGTTGAAGTTTTGCTTGCCATTTTCTGGGCCGTGTTACAGGATTATTCTCGTTATCTTGAGCGAAGAGGGGTTTTTTATGCCTCTCAAAAATTTGTAGTTCATTTCAAAACAGGGAAGAACTTTTTGTTCACTCTGAAAAACGCTTTTGTTTGTTTCTGGTTCTTCAAAAGGTGACAATGGTTTTGAAAACACTTTAAATGACATTGCAGAAAACTTTGTGACAATTTGATGATAGTTGTTATGATTACGTAGATGCGAAACGTAGCCTCGTTTTCAACTCGCAATTCCACGCTGAATACTTCGCTTCGTTGACCAATCAGAATGCGAGATTTTATTCAACTATGAGATTCTCTGTCAAACTACACCGGAACTACACCAAACTATGCGGAAGAACTTAAGCTACGCAGAGTATCCTACACCAAAAATTACGAAACTACACTAAACTAAATCAAACCATACCTGAATTCATCAAACTACACCAATCTACATCAAAACAGACCAACCTACACCAAACTACGCCAGACTACACCAAACTACACTAAACAATACAAAATTATAAAAACTATGAAAAACTGCAAGCGGACTACCATCTGAAACACAGTGTGCTAGATTAAAGCTCAGCCAATGCAAGGCAACTTCGTTGATTTCACCAACTACACGAACTGAAGCTAAAAGTACGCGAACGTTCACCCAACTCCACCGGTTGCTAAGTTACCAACCGCACCAAACTACGGTCAATTAATTTCTATTACAGTTAAACCTAAAAATATGTAAACTTTTTATGATAAGGACACTTGAGCCAGAATTTTAAATTTCATCAGGTTGTCCTGTATATTCTCCTCTCATTGAAAATAAAAAACTGAAGGCAAAAACTTGAAATCATGTTAAGGATGGTCTTCTACGTAGCGGCTGAGAATTGATGCGTTGGCACAGTAGCGAAAAATGTCAAGCATTACACTTTGACGATCAAATTTCAATAGTTAATCACTTGTTACCTTGGAGAAAGTTTTCATTCTCAAAAGCAATTGATATGTGAGCTGTTCAACAATAACTGTGGAAACAATGTTCTGATATCCTAAAATAGGCGTTTTAGCCTCCACTAACATATTTTTATCTCACAAGAAAATGAATTATGTCATACAGAATTTGCGCCACATTTCGAATCGCATTTCGCCAGCAAAATAACAATTTTGTGCCAGCTTTCACCTGTTTAACTTTCTTGAAATCAAAACTCACAAGAGAAAACTACACGTGTTTAGGTCTTAGTGTTCGAATGTTCATTAAAAAATTATATTTCGGGAGACTTGGCAGCTGGTCCGATCAACTCTCCCGTCGACAGGAAAGATGACAGAAGAGAGAGAGAGTGCACGCGCTAGTTGGGGTACTGCACTTTTATCACTGGTACTACTGAGAGCAGGCGCTGATGGTAGAATAAATTCATCATTGTAAAATCATTTGTTCCTTGTTGCCTTTACAGCCGTACAGGGTTGCGTCTGTCGCAAACACCATACAGTTGATGATGATTGTCATCGTAAAGAGTAGAAGATGAAGCGGAAGGTTTTAAACATATGACTTTCGTGAGCTAGGTTAAAGGCAATTATGCTTTATGCTGTCCCTATCTAAATGGCGTCTTCAGGTCCATTTTCAAGAATCTATTTTGTCCTTTGGTTTCGCAGCATTTTGATCTCGGATCATTAAGTTCGTTAATTCCCAAATATCATGAAAAGCCAATAGGAAAGAACATGAATCGTTTGCGGTAAAATTTGGTGATTAAAAGGAATGCGAAAGTTAGGTGAACCCGTCATGTTGGAACTTGATAACAACGAAACATAACTCGAGGTACGTGGAATTTGTTCTGGGAAAGAAAATAAAACAAAGATAATTCGGTTACAAGTGGATAAATATGCTTCTCACTTATCGCCGAACCAGTGTCGGAGTAGAATATGGTTTGAAACCGAACTGTGACGCAGATTGTTACTGCTGTGTTTTTGGCCTCTTGTTTTCTATTATCAAATATGTTTCTGGTAGGGTTTAAAATATTTGGAGCTTAACTTTTAGTGTGCATCTGCAGCCGCACTAATAACGAGCAGATGCCAAGCCCGAGTTTTTAATTTTTATGGTAGCATTAAGAAAATTGGAGAAGGAAATCTTTGCGACATTTGGTTCCAAAATCTCGAATTAACTGCTATCTTTGCATTACAATATGGCCGTCAAGAGTTTCCCACCAGCGGTTGTAAAATATAGTCATAGTCACAGTAGCACAAATATTTTTTGTTTCGATTTTGGTTTATATCGAATACATCGCTAAAAATAAGAAAATACCTACAGGAACCAGGAGTTTTTCTTTACGATTGATGATTCCTGAGCGTGTACTATTTTTAAAAGTATTCAATGCCGCGAGCAATGACGCGGAAAGATAAGTTTAATTGCTTGCCATTTGAAACTGACAGAGAAGGTTCGAGCTCAGCACAGGCGGCCCAAGCTCCAGCGAGATGATCATATGCGTAATAAGCGTCAAACCAAAAATATAAGAATTTGTGTTGTAATATTTACGACCACTCTTAGGAGGTAAAACTACAGTCAAATTTTCATCAACAAAAATCCCTCACCTTCCTTCCACAGTGCAGTGCTTGTTGTCTGAGCGCTTACTTTGTTAAAACGAGGTCATCATAGCGAGTTATCCATTTGTAAGTTTCCTACTCCTACGAGAAAACAAGGTTGCACACTCCTTTTCCGAACACCCGGTCCGAGAAGAGAAAAATCCAAGCTCAAATTGACCGGGCAGCCACAAATCCAGCGCGGAATCCAGCCAAATACAGTGTAGTTTCATTTCAATTCCCTTTCAACTCAATCCTCCCCGCGGAACCGGCGCCAAGCCGCAGTTTGCTTCCAAAATTACCAGTTTACATATTTCTAACGACCCGCGTACGCATTCACGACGACACGCGACTGTTGACCGCGCGACCGGTCCTTTACTTCCTAAGACCGGTCGTAAATATTCCCAAACAAACTCTTTCATTTTCGTCATGATGCTTATTACGCAAGATGATCGTCTCACAGCTGGAGCTTGGGCCACCTGTGAGTTTAGAGGCAGTAATGCGCGTAAATTATGTGCCTCAAACCACAATGGCCTTATAAAGTTCACTCAATATAAGAAAGATGGCGAGAAATTTTATTCGAGCACAATGCAGACTATATAACTGTTGCAAAAAGGGACAAAGAAATCAAGCAGCGACAGACACATTTTGTATATGACTCGAACTTCCAAAACAACGCAATTCATCAGCCCCATTCTAAGGGAAACTTTTCGCTTGAACAATAATCGTTAATTAATAAGTATTAATAGATGTATTGTAGATCAGACTTTGATCTCGCTGCCACGGTTACAATAAAATCCGAAGGATGACTGATCACAAATGCATAACAAAGGCAATTTTCTTTCTACATTGGAAAAAAATGAATGGATGATGAGTTAAGCCGTATCTAGGACTGAAAACATCAATTTTCATCATACTTTTGACAGTTACGTTGAGATACTAGAATATAAACATATTTCATGAGTTTTTCGATCGGAGATAGAGCGTAATGACGAAGGAATATCAAAAATAAATAATGATAAAAAAAATACTTAAATCTGAGACGTTCTTGCTTCTTAATTATCGCTTTTTTCAATTGCTTTCAATCGTCTAACTAACACCATTCGATTTCTACGTCAGGAGGCAGCCGAGAACCCAAATCCTTGCAAGTTTCAGTTGAATCTTACCATAAATTTTCTCAGATTTTTTCTTTGTCAGAAGAAAGATGTTTTTCAGAAATAGTGATTTTCATAGATTATTATCTATCTTTAGGTGAAAATTTCCCGGAACCTGCTGCTCTGACCAACAGTTTTCATTAAGACCATCCACCACCTATGAATTACTTCTCTAGGCCACTCACAGAAAATTTCTGTGTATGTTGAAGAGCAATGTGACCATTGGTTCACCGATCTTTTAAGTACCTGCTCTCATCAGGCTGATTTCGCATAAAGATTGAGGCGAATCTTTTGCATGCAAACAATAAGGAATTTTCGCAAGAGATTTCCAAAGCCTTTTTGCCAGTCCCGCTTCTTCTTGGTAAAGATCTTTGTAGTCATATCAAAGACTGCAAACTATAGTTACTCCTTAGTATGTTTACCACATGATTTGATAAGAACAGTATGATTTCTATAATCAATTTTCATTTTGTGTTGGCCCATCAGAAAATGTTGATGGGACAAAGCCTGAGAGATTTAACTTCTAAAGTATAAGGGGAGTTTCATTTCTTTCCTAATTCGGATCTTGAATGTCGATGAAAGGAGGAGAGGAACCCGTCGATTTAATATTGATCAGGTGCACTGCTACTAGGTTATATTAAACCAATTCTGAACAGGACGTAGATAGTTTCCACAAGTGTAATTTTCATATGGTAAATCTTCTAATCTGAGGGCTAGGAAATAAAAAAATTAATAATATTACTAAGTTCATTCGACACGCGTCCTGCATACTGCTATATGAACTTGGTAATAGACCTCACTCACCGTGGAGTCGCTGTGACTCAGTAGTAGAGCATCGGGGCGCGGAATCTGAAGGTCCGAGGCTCGATTCCTCATGGGAATTTTTTCTTTGTCCCACGCTCGTGACAAGAGGAAAAACATCGTTCTCTATCATCTTTCTTACATCAACTATATTCACTATCTCGTTACCAAGGCGAAGATACCGAAGAGGATAGAGAGAGGGCATCTTTAAAGTTCGGAAAGAAGACTTGAGTGACAATCAAGGGCGTAGATACTGAAGAAGATGAACAGGCAAATGTCGTCACCAAACCCCAGACGAGGCCATCATGTTATTAACAATGGTGTGAAGGACATATACCGTGACATTATAAAACGTTTTGTCGATACCTTCGGTACAACTTATCTTGATAGCAATAATTACTTAAACCTTGTACAGCTGAATATCATAAATGAGGTTAGAAGGGGTGGTCTACCTGCAGACTGCGTGCTTCGGACCGCACCTTTACCTCATGAAACAAAGAGAGAAATTGTAGAAAACACTGTGTACACCCCAGAGAGAGAGATTTATACGAATTATAGAAACGCTGAAAGATTCGGTCGGGCTAAACAAATCCTTTTACTCAAAGTCACAATATTAATGCGTGATATTTGCCTCTCACTCAGAGAGGAAAACAAAATGCCTGACGATCTTGATGATAAAATGGGTGGGCTCCGTCAGTTCATTACTGACGACTTTAATAGTGATGTCTTTGTTGATGAGCAAGCTAAAGCTTGGTGGGAAAGAGAAAGAGGTCCAGGTGACGCCGATAGGCTCCAAAACTGGATACAGCAAGTGAATGAAATGTTGATGAAAATAGCTGGCAAGGGCACGATACAGCTTGTTATACATTGGGGACAATGGGCTTTTCGTGTGTCAGAGGGATTCAGATACAATCATTTGCAATGAACCGGAAAATATTAAGTTCATAAGTTCTTTTCCATCCATACCCCAAATGGAAACACTGAAGGTTCAATTGTGAATTAATGATTGGCTTGAAGGAATCCATGTCGGTGTGCCGATATCTAATATACACAGTATAATAGCTGTCAATAGAGAATACGAAGGGGAAAATAATGATCAACGGCACGTAAGCGAATCAAGAACTAGGTTAGTTTTTTTTAATCGGGATTAATAAATACTTAATGTCTTCTGAATAACTGGATCAGACTGTTTATACAGGCAACAGAGATTGTTTATTGGATCGCAGCTTTCGCAATTAGTGCAGTTATTTGATCTTTTTGGCCTTGAATTCGGGCAGCTTAATCTCAGAAGTAATGTAATCTATTTTTCCAATACGATCGCTGGAGTTAGTCAGGTTAAGAGTCAGATGACTGTAAGCGACGATCTCTCCATAAAAATAAGAAATAACTTAAATAAACGAAAAAAGCTCCTTGCGAGTCCATCGGAAACCGAGTTGTTTAATATCCTCAAAAAAGCGCCAGTGATTTTCGATATTTGTGTATCTTAGTTTAGTGTTTGATAAGTTTTTACCTTTGCTGATAAACTTAGACTAACGTTGGGTCTACGATAGTTTAAGCACGACAACGGCAAAGGATAGAGGTTTCCTCCAATGTTCTTCGTAGTCGATGATTTCCCGAAGAAACCCATGCAATGTAGGAGGGGGGGGGGCCCTCTAAGCTTTGTCTCGATCGGAAATTGTACTTTTGCTGAACAATTTCATCACACGGTTCTATCGATCAAGTGGACGGATCACACTGGTTTTCATTTTGAAAACCTCTCACTAACTGAGTTGAGGTTGTAGTATTTTCCTGTCAAGTTCGATACACCTTTGCTCCTGCTCCTTTGAAACTAATTATGATTAAGTGACCGAGCACGTTTAGTCAAAATATGACACTGCAGTAAAATCACAAGAAAGGGAAAAAAAAGAGCCAGTTTCGTGAACTCTAGCCAACTCGAAAATTTCCAGAGTCTCATTTACGACAAACCCATCTTAAAATCTTGTTTCCTCAGACTCAGTCCTTTCGAAGTGCTCTCAATTTTTAACCAATGGCATCTGCATCGAGGGACGAGCAGGATTTTTGTGAAGGCATGGAGACGATGTATGGCCAAAAAATCCCGTTCGATTCAGATGTAAAATATGTCATAGACGAAGGGATTAAGGAGTCAAGACGCATGAACCCCGAGAAAAGAGCACAAGTAATTGAAACTGCAGGATATTTAGCTTACGACATAATGGTTGTCGAGAGCCTAGGAGATCATGCAGATGCCGAGGTAGCCAAGGGAGCGAAACAGGCTGCTGAAAGTTGCATAAAAAAACGTTTAAAGGAGATGAAATATCCAACCGTTGAGGAAACTGTACATAAACCACTTTCGCAAAAAGAAGCTTTTGATCAAGAAGCTTTTGGATATGCAAAATTGCTCAGTGAAGCGATGGAGGCCGCTGAAAAGTACAAAGGGTATAATAATGATGAGGGAAAACCATCAGCCAACGAAGAACCCTTACAAATGCTGCCGAAAGAAACTTCTAGGCAGGGGGCTTGTGAATCTAACCCGTCAGTCAAAGAGGGCGGAGTCGTAGAAATGAGAAAAGAAAGCAAGACAAGAAAAAGAAGACAAAATGAAAACGAGGAGAGAGAGGGCCAACGATATCAATATGTCGTTAATCCTTTCGCTCCCGAGATCTCATCGGTAATTCTCCTCACAATTCTTACGATGTTAGTTTGGAGAATTTGGTATTGGATCATCTTGTAGTCCCCTGGTTGAGTTTTCTTCTTCATTCTCCTGACTTGTCTGCTTGATATTGCATCGACACTGTATGGAGAAATTCTCCCTTGGTCAATGATGGGAGTTAAAGGGTTAAACGACAGTGTTCTATCTATTGTAGGTATATTTGTTCCGATAAATATACAGATGCACGCGCTCTGATTGGTCGAAGATTGCTTCATATCTCGCCATAATCACCTTGCGCGAGGTGATTATGGCGAGGTAATCACGACAGGAGCGCTAATTTTTTGTACAATTGAAATGGCTGCCTCTTGTTTAGTCAGTGTTTATGAGGAACTGATGAAAAGGAAACTTAATTCCGAAGAGCACAAAAGATGTTAATAAGTTTGGAGTACCCATCATTCAATTGAAAGATATCAAGTATTTGCTGATTAAATATAAAAAAAACCTCTTAAGTCTCGTGGAAACAACCTCTTTATGAGAGTAATCAAAATACTGAATTTAAACGGAATGCTTTTAGCCTCAAACAGATATTTACGATATGATCAAAAAGTACCTAAGCAATTGTATCCAAAAAATTATTCACCTGCCGGCGACTATAATTGTTAAAAAGCGACATCCTAAAAAGGTGTGTCGAAAACCTTAAGGAATAAATATGCTATGGAAAGGATTTTGAGGTGTCTGAAGAAAAATATCAACGAGTTGCAGCTAATTAGCTTTATCCCTACGATATTTATTCTCCAGCATTTCTTCAAACACAACATTTTCACGATTTAAAAGATCACATCGAAGATTCGACGGAACTGCCCCAAAAGGCGACAAATACTTTTTCGACTGCTACATGGATTTTGAAAAAGCAAAAGAAGATCGATCCAAATCAAGCTTCACGCTATTGTCTTAGAAATACCTGAACTTTCAGAGAAATTGAATAAAAAACATAAATGCTATTATTAATATCAGTACGATATTAACATGATGGTGCACACGTTCATTTTCATAACGAGCTCTCCCAGTTCATCAAAGTTCTCGTGTATAAATAAAGTTTATCATACGAACCACGGTGTCATACAAGGATTCCCAGCCCTAAGGAAAGCCGTAACAACATATGTGAAAAAATTTCGTATTTTTTCACTTCTGTTTGATATCGCCAATCAGCTGCTGACACATCACTCGCCTTTCGCGCCTCGGTCAGGTTGACGAATAAACGGCGAAGCCTTCACCATTCTCAATCCGCCGTCGTTTGTCGGAATTTTTTCGGATTAAGGCTGCTAAAACACTGAAAAATTCGTATCGCTTACAGACAGCGACGTTCAAACTTTCCTAAAAGGGAAAGAAAAACAAAAGAAAGAAAGATAAACCGAAAGTTACTTATTCAGTGGCTTTCGTGATGGCACTTCTCGCGGCTGAGAACGGAAATCGACATCTGGAAAGTTTGCCACAAGCAGATTTTGGCCATTTACCTTACAGATTTCTTCTGTCTGTAAGGACCAAATCGATACATTAAGAATTTTATAAATTTAAAATTACGTCCATTGTTTGTTTTTATGGTGTTTCAACACATTTTTTTGATCTTGAGCCTTGGCGCCAACGCACCTTACGATTTTTATTCGAGGATTGTCGACCTTTTATTTTCATTCGTTAATAAATTTGAGTTATCTTATGATATCTTATGAACATCCCCCCCCCCCTTCAGCTGGTGTCTAGAGACGCGAAGTCAGCGGCTGACATTTGCCAATCGTCTACATCGATAATGCGACTAATATAATCCGCTCTGTCAATTTCAGAACGAGTAATCCACTGGACTTCCAATGCAATGATATAATCGACACGAAGCTGAAAAATCTCCGTGGCGATAAAGTGCAAATCGCTCCTCGTGCTTCCCACTTGTATAATTTTACAAGCAGTCTGACCATCAGAAAACCACCTCACGTAGGAGCCTTTAAGGAGGAGCAAAAACGATTGTAGGGCGAACGAAATAGCTGACAGCTACTTCCACGTGAAAATTTTACCACAATCATTTACATCCATAACTTATGACATACTTGTTCACCCTTGACAGTGAGCGCCACACCCTGTGGCGCTAGCATCGGAATAAACCACGTAATTAGATGTCTCAGGTTAATTAAGGCCTGGGTCACCCTGTCTTTAACCCATATTTTCACAAAATTGAGAATAACTTAGCTATTTTGCGAGGGATTTTTCTCATACTTGGCAGAAATGTGTATCACTACCATCTCTCTCGGACTGAATTGTGACAGCGTAATATGATACTCTCAACAGCCAAAAACAGTTCATTTAGGCGCCAAATTCGTCGGTTGCTTTCTTGAGCAAATTCCCACCAGTAAACACAAGGCAAATCAAAATGCAGTTATCGCTATGAATATTTGAGACGTTTTTTATTGTTTTCCCACTTGGAATGGCTGCCAAAAAAAAGAGAGATGTGCTAGGCAGATTAAATCAAGTTTTGTCTCTGCGAAGCTGCTTCCTCTATCATGGTTTTCGCCCGAAAACATCTTAGCCTTTACCTGGTTCCAACCGCTATCAACGAAAGTAATCCCACAGGTTCCTATTAATTTGGAAAAAAGACAAATTAAAACTGTTTAAGAGGTGGGAATTTTGAAAACTCGCAGTCACGTAATTCAACTTAGTGTCCGCCATTTTGACACGCGAGTCACGCGAGTGTTCAGAAGCAATAATTTAACGGCTGATACACTACCAAATACTAATTGGAGCAATCTCAGAAGTAATACAGGCAAACTTTGTTTACTTTTGATGATATTTATTTCTTTTTCTCGTTTTCTGAGGTCGATTGCATCTCTGTAAATCCAGGGTTAGATCGCCTTTGACAGTTCTAATAAAACACAATTGCAAATTTGGGCGGTAAGAATAAAGAACGTTTGTAATTTTATCCCAAGTAGTATCATATAACGAGACTGAATTACAATTTATGGCGCAAAACTTGAAAGTTATCGCACTGATTCCTTGAAACTCTTCAAGGTTTTGTTCCCTAACAACGGTACTACTCGATAACGAGCTAAGTGTATTCGTGTGAAACGAAAATGTCTGTCATTTTTAATTGTGGATTTGCAAGAGTTGCTGTAAAGGAGAGCTTTCGTAAGGTTGGAAGTGCTTCGGTTGAAACTAACCCTAGTGAAAAGTGGAAGAACTATCTTGCAGCGTTCGAGGGTGACAGTCAGGAAGTCTTTGCGGTCGAACGTTCCACCTACGTCAAGAAATCCAAAGCAATTTACAGCTCTTTCCGAAAGATGAACTCAAAAGCCAGGGCCCAGTACCAAGACACGTTTTCAATGGTAAACTGGAAAGCTCTTAATACAGCGCAGAAGAAACAGCACACACTGTCAAATTGTGGAGGTTGTCAAGTGCACTATTATGCCATCCATAATTTTTTCCCTAGTGGAGAAACTTTCAAAACCCGAAAACTTTTAAAAGAGGCCCTTATTGAAAGTGGGGTGAAGACACAAAATAAAATGAAACCAACGCAAAAAGCCATTAAAACTGCTGTAAAACACATTTATTCAAAAGTGAATGGCCACTTTGAGAAAATATTTAAAATAAGCTTTGCTGAAGCACAAACAAAAGTGAAGGAACTTCAGCTCCAAAAAAAGAAAGACGCAATTGAGAAAAAGCGGCAGCGTCGAGGGAGAGCACGCCAAGAAAAAAAATAAAATCCAATGCTAATGTCTAGTCCATCTGGAGGAAGAGTAATGTTTCTAGTTACTTTGCAGTAATTTGCATGCCAAACAATGAGATCAACAATCTTCACCTTTACTTGTGTTGCAATCTAGCATTTATTTAAGCACACTCTCTATAATATATTTGCCTTCATTTTCCAGTTTTTTAAAAGGAATGAAAGTACCAAATAATCCACTGTAAACTTAATCAATCATACTGAACTTCTTCCAACCAATGGAGAGAATATAATACTGGGAGAAGGATCCTATGGTCGATGCCTTCTGAGACAGTACACACGATTTGATATAAAGGTTGTGGAAAAACAGTCTCTGATGCAGGACACCACAGAGATAATGAAGGAGGCTCACATTATGAAGGCACTCACACATAAAAATATCCCAACCATAATAGGTGTGCAGCTTCAAAAGCAGCCCATTTCCTTAATAATGGAGTTTAAAGGGGAAGACAATACAACTGTAACAATAAGCAAACTATTGTCTTATCACAAAACAGTACAACAATACAGAATGTGCAAAGCTCACTCATAACAAATGACTGGTTAATTATTTCACATGATTTGACAGAAGCCCTTTCACATATTCACACAAAAGGCTTTCTTCACTGTGAAAGGCTAATAATTTTCTTGTGAGTAACAAACGTGGCTACATCATCGATTTTGGAAAAGCATGTGACAGCTCCTTTCCTCCTGCAAAGAATTAATGAAGCCAGTGATATTTTTTCCCTTGGTAAAATTCTGTTCAAAGTAGGTGTTAAGCAAAACATTCCACTTTTGGTTTCCATGGCTCAAGAATGTTTGGATGCCAGCCCTGTAAGAAGACCAACAGCAACAGGCATTATGGCAACTCTGGCTTCCATAATATCTCACTAAATACTATAAGCTTAAGCAGGGGTTTCATGGGCCTGACACTGGGCAAATTAACTGGCTGGGAACATAATTTTTCCTGCATGTTGTGACTGACATAAATCAGAATCAAAACATATTTTGCCTGCTTCCTTGTACATTTCCCTCAAAATCTTAATGAAACCTCTGCTCAAGAAAGTAATAATTAACACTCTAATCAGGTAAAGTGACCCTAGCCATGTCATGGCAGGAGTCTTTTTATTGGGCTTTGCAAGGTTAAAATTACAATGTATGTGCATGTCTTTAGCAAGTTTATGTGTGCTCTTGGTCTAAACTAATTTTGTACTTCTGCTTTACGAATTGTGAATGAATGTTAGACAGACATAATGTCTGCACAGATAAGGTGCTCTAGGGTCCATCAGGTACAAATTACTTCATAGGTCATACTCATGTCTATAATTTTACATCGCTGCTAGATAACATACATGTACTGATTTATTTCCCAATTCCTGCCAATTATTGATCTATGAAATTGAATTTAGGCAAGCAACTGGCAGATCAAACTTAAAATTATAAACCAGAGTTTTAACCAGTTAGGCCACCATAGCCTTCTAACAGGAATATTGACTTGGAAGAGCAACAAAAAAAGCAAGAAATACAATTTTAAAATTTTCCTTTCTGACTTTGTAACAAGGGCAACCTATCCTGCTCTTAAGATGGCACATCGTTTATGAGTAGGGCTGAGAAGATGACACATCTTATACCAGTTTGTGTTTGCTCTTGTCACAAAAAAGAAACAGTGCCCCACTTGGGGCAACAGTAAGCACTGGTAATTAATCATGTCTTATCAACAAAGGGAGAAGGCAATGGTCAGAATCATATGCATGTATTAGAACTTTTGTGATGTATTTGAATTAAAAAATACTCCACTGGTGTAGTGGGTAGAATATTGACATTCAAATAGACACATATATCAATTACAAATCCATCATTGACAATGATTGTTGCAATTATTACCGGTCAAAACTTAAAAACCAAACTGTTGACTATTATTAAAACTGATATAACATGATTTAAAAACCAAAAAAATGCCTCATAAATAACACCATTAACATGCTTGTAATAAATTAGTTGTGTGGAATAACTGGAAGGACCTCTTCAAGAAAACAAATAGGGATAACAGTAAATAAAACTGGTTTTAATTAAGTAGATTCCTTTTGGAATCTGCAAGGGCTGGCTGGTTTTCTGTGTGAGTAATTAGAATTATTATTATTATATATTTATAGCAATTCAGTAAGGGACCTCGGAATAAACTAACACACATTAGTACAGCTTTTTTCCTCTTAGTTTTCAAGGGACAATTTATGACAAGACAGTCTGCATCTTACATGTCAGCAATTAAACTTACCTAACAACTGCTTTGAGGAATTACGTTTGTCAGTAAATTCATCTGCTTCTTGGAGAAATTGTTTCCAAAGCATTCAAAAGCCTAAATTTTGATAAAAACCATAAGTTTACACATCATGATGTGATAGAGGATTTATCAAGCTAAATTTAATTTCAAAATTGAATGGTATATCCACAATGAAACTTTTTTGTATGCATTTGTTACAAAACATAGTACTCTTTTCTATGCAAAAGTTACAAACATTGTAAAACGCTCTAGAAATGAGCGCTATATTATAAGTTCATGTTGCATTGTATTTGCAGTGAAATCAATGAACACGTTGAGAGCGGTGTTTAGAAGTCTTCGTAGGTTCAAAAGGGTTCTCTTTGGCTTTAAGATAGCGATATCATGCCATTTTTTGAGGAAATGAAGATAGCAAAGAAAATGTTATTACCTTCTTTTGATGTCTTCCTATAAATTGTCGGACTTACCAGCGAAGATGGGGAAAACCAATGCAAAGCCGACACTTGGATGCCGGATGCCGTTCACGAACTACGCGATCTTGATTCCAAGTAACTATGGTTACTCGCGCAGTCCACGCGAATTCCGCGAACCTTGCTGGGGGGACACTGGAGGCGAAAATCATTTTTGACCCAGGCCTTAATTAACCTGAGGTTTCAGACGGACAATCTACTACTGAATTCAAGTTTAATCGTGTCGAATTTTCTCTCCAAAAATTAAGTTCCCTAACACAGTATTGATCCAGATGAACTTAGAATCCCAGTCCTGAGAGAACTCAACCGATATATAACAGTACCTAGTCGTAAATCGGGAAATGTCGCCAAAAACTACCCCAGCGGAAATAATTTTACTCACGAGGGAAGATAATTCCCGAGCCGACACGAGATAATCTTCAAGGAGGATCCTACGTACAGATTCCGCAATGCCTAATTCCCGTCTGTTCGAAAACGAATTAAACGGGCGGGTGGGTGGGGGACGAAGGAACGTCAGTGGAAAGCGAGAGCAAAAGGACGCGATAATATTCTGTAACGCTTTCAATACGAAAAAAAAAAATACCCAATCACGAAACCCTTAGAGACACGCCTAACGGCGTGTCACAATAACCAACGAACAACCAGCTGTAAAGGTGTAAGAAAACTGCATACCAGCGGGAAATGCATTTACGTTCTAACTCGCTACGCTCAAACGAACGTAAATTACCTTCCCCTTCAATTCTGGAAAGACATAACCACAACAGCCTGATGGTTGACTGCTCAGGCAATCCAACCAACGCGAGACTTCAAAAAGTAAAACAGTAATGGATCTTACTGCGGAAAAGCTGAGAATTCCAGCGCATCACCACCGATGCCTTTAACTTCTTTTCTTTTCCTCTCCATAGCCCTCTTTGCCTTGCGAAGCTTTTTCTCATCCTTTGAATCAGACGCGAGATCGTCGGACTCGTACTCTTGAACCAAACGCCAACCCTCCTTGTTTCTATCGGCAATCTTGATCAGCGTCTGACGCTTCTTGACTAGCTGTTTTCCTTCGGCGACTAACTTGAGAACCTCGCATGGGTTCTCGAAGCTGCCTTCAATTTGGGTCAAAATGCTATTCAAGTGCGAATTCAACTCGAACTGCTTTCTATTTCCCTTAAACTTAACCGTAGAAGCTTATTTTCCGATTTTGGGGACTTCCTCCAACTGTTTGCCTTTTTCCTCCAATTGGGAAGTGGAGTATCCCTTAAAAAGCGAGAACACTTGGTTTTCTTACTGAGAATTCGGGAATGAATGAAGGAACGTTAGTGGAAAGCAAGAGCGAGAGGACGCGATAATACTCTGTTACGCCGTAAGAGCGGTCGTCTGTAAAAATCGAGCAGAGGTGTTGAAAATAAAAAAAAATTGAAATTTTTTTCCAGAACATAGGTATGAATGGCCTTAGTTACGGCAAAATATCAAAAATGCCGAACAAAAAAATTTTGTATAATATGTATATTGAATATGAAGGAGACCTTTTTCGAAGTTTGGTATGATATAAGAGGGAATTCGAGCGTTTTGGTAATGTTTTTTCTTGAAGTGACGTGCTAGTCACGTCGGTCACGTAACGTGCTTCTTGAGCTCAAATACGCTTATATAAATCGCTCTAAAAATTCGTAGTTTAAGTAGCCCAGAGATTTTATTGCGGTTTCTAAAAGAGGAAGCCTTTTTATTGATAATGGTTATTTTCTCAGTTTATGGAGCCTTGTAAGAATGGCCGATTTTAGTCGCCAAAGTTGATGTATGTTTTGATGGGTGGAATTTTACCTGAAATAGAAAATTCGTAAAAAAATCATTTTTTAAGGAATCTTGGAAAAAATGCTTTAGAACCTTTGAAAAACATCTCTTGGTTCAGAATTTTTATGTAGTTTCCGAATTGCTCGTGAAATGAGTTTTTTTTTCGGCCGTTATCTTGAGGTGCACTATTTCACCGGGAAAACACGGTTATGAACCCCCAAAACACAAAATGCCACCGCTCTTCCAAAATAATTTTTTTCGGCATTTTTGATATTTTTCCGTAACTAAGGCCATTCATAGCTATGTTCTGACAAAGTTTGAAAAAATTTTCAATTTCTTTTTATTTTCAACACCTCTGCTCGATTTTTACAGACGACCACTCTTAAATACTAAAAAACAAAACTATCCTATCATGAAACCCTTCGAGAAACGCCTCTTGGCGTGTCGCAATAATCAACGAATAACGAGCTATAAAGGTGTAAGAAAACTGTATACCAGCGGAAAATTCAAATTTTACCGTGTAAGAAAATAATCATAACATTAATTATCATCATAAAATACCAACAAGAAAGATAAAAATGTTAGTAATCGTGAATAATAATCGAAACAATTGTAATGTCAAAAAAACTAAAGTTATTCGCTGCAATTCAAGTGATATGATACAACAAAGTCGTTCACCGGACGAGTTCTGTGTTGGTCGGTGATACTCCAACTGGATTTGCTTGGTCAGTACCGTAACGAAAAAAAGAAAAATCCTTAAAGTTGCCATTCTTTGTTTTGCCTGGGAAACTTCTTAGAAGAATTTGTACGTTCATGAGGATTCCTACAAAATGGTTTCCCAAGGTTGTTGAGAAAGGTAGGTAGGAGAAACAAATGATTTATGACGTTTATGTTAATAAAAACCTCCTAACTGACTTTCATGTTTCCGTGTTAGACTGAGCCGAAGAATATAGGTGACTTCGCGTCTCACTGCTGGAGTAGTTTGAGACGGATTTGTAACCTGGCAATGTATAAAGAATACTTCAAAATCAATTAATGTTCTGATCAAAGTCCGAAAAAGACCGAAACGACATTCATAGACTAATCATGGGGTTTCCTAAAAACAAAATTTTACTTCTAGATAGAAAGTGAACTTATGAATAAAATTGAGGCTTTTTTTTCTTTTTTTTCCAGAAAAAGGCAAGTTCAGTAATCGTCTTGAGCGTTAGAACGAGTGATATCTTCGACGAGAGATAGGATTTTACTTCGAAAAGAAAAGACAAAGACTGCTACGGAGCTTATGGAAGTCCTTGAATAGTTTGTGATGAACTTGTAAACGGGCAAGAGTATAAAGAATAACGAAAAATCAATTAATATTCTGATCGAAGTCCGAAAAAGACCGAAACGACATTCATAGACTAATCAAGGGGTTTCCTAGAAACAAGTTTTCATTTCTGTGAAAAAGGAAAAGCTGAATGCAAATTAAAGTCAATTCAAAGTCCTCCAGGCTTTTAATGTTGACTCAAAACATGTTTATTGTCTTTAATAACGAAATCTTTGCTGCTCTAAACCGTCAGTTGTCTCCCTCTTTATTTGAGAAAAAATGCTAGAACTGTGTAACAATTGATATTAATAATATTAGTCATTGCGGATCTAAAAACATTGGCAAGAAGATTTTCAAACAAATTCTAGACTTAGTAGTTATTATTATTAGGAGGATTTTTCTTCTTATAATCCAATTATTCCAATGTGAGCTCAAACGATACCTTTCCTTAGATTTTTAAAATTTAGAAACTACAAGAAACAGTGCCTCTGAAGTCAACCCAATTGATATCCTTTGGAGAAATAAGAATAACGAAGAGTATCACAACATAGTGGGACTCAATGGGCCATGTGTTTTGTTTACTTCAAAGAAAGATCGAGTAACCCATGTGTTATAAACGAAGTTTTACTTCAGTTTCTGTAATTAACAGCGAAGTTTCCTTTCAAATTGTTACTGTTATGGTGCCTTTGCCTTTCTTTCTGGGATAGCTTAAATCAATCGCATCATACAGTGTTACTGGTACACATATTCCCCAACAAAATTTGAGGAATAGTAGATAAAAAATTATATGAAACGACGTGGCTCCTTTCAAATCGTGACCCCATAGTGCTGATTCGAAACGAGCACGGGCCATGTCGCTGAAAATCAGCACCGAACATGTTGCAACAAAAACGATAACGAGTAAGGACTTCTTGTTTTCTGTCCAAGCTCTCCACGACCGTAACAAGAAACGTGAATCCATCGCGGCGTCTGATTTTGGTGACACGATCTCCTTGTTGCTCTCAGTATCGTCTTTAGCCAAGGTTACGGAAACCAAACAGAAGTCAATAGACATGGTCAAAATCAACGTAACTTTGAGGACGACTTGAAAAATGGGCGTTTGCAATAAGCAATGGTGCCAAAAGATCATTGCAGAAGCGATGAATCTCAGAAGAAGCATCGCGTACAATGAAAGGCAAGAAAATGTTTTATGTTCTTCATGTACTGAGGGATGTTCATAGCACACTTTCATGATTGCCACCAGGTTACTAATTTGAAAAAACATCATGGACAAGGAAAGAACCCTCAAGACATTACAGGATTCCGTAGCTTGAATACGGAAACCATTCCACCATCCCGCGGCATCCGCGACCAGAATTACAACTTGGCAAGCGACTTGAAGACCTAATAATATCCAGCACTTTTTGATAGATCTGTATTTTTTTTCATCTTTGTAGCAGCTCTGTAACAGTAGTCCGTTGAAAAAGATTGCGGCTAAATCCATTACGAATATCAAAAGAAGAGTTGGCACGGTTAAGGACATGACGCGATAGCGTAATCTTCCTCTCCTCAGTGTGTGGTTGAATTAAGCTGAGCTGTATTGACGTGTGTCTTGAGAGCACACACTTATCTTATCTGCATCGGGGAGGGCCAAGGGAGGTCTGGACAAGAATAAAAAACATAGGAGCGGTTACTTGACCATGATTCTTATCTTACGCATAAAAAAGGTTACGGGGTGCAAAATCAACGGCATTTTATGAAAAGTATGAGGTACCACAATCTGAAGGGTAGACCCTTTTGTTTAACGCATATGTAGAGTTTATTCTCTTTGTGTAAGACATTGTTGTGTAATGTTTTTTACTTGTTGTTTCTTTTGTATACCATGTTGCTGTGTAGAAACCTCTTGTAACCTCCATCGGTACCACATATTAATTTATGCGCAGTTGCAACGCGAGATACTTGTATACGTAACTAGTTGATTGAATTGTCCCATGCGAGAAGGAGTATATAAATTTTAAATTACTTTCTCTTAATGTTCGAGGGATTCGTTCCCCAACCAAGAGGAAAGCTCTTTTTACGTGGCTTAATGAACGAAAGTACGATATCATTTTCCTTCAAGAAACCTACAGTACTGTAGATGTTGAAGATATCTGGAAGACGCAATGGCAAGGTAAGCTTCATTTTGCACATGGTTCTAATCACAGTTGTGTGGATACCGAGGGCCGCTCAATTGTAATGGAAGCTGAGGTACAAGGCTCATTATTCTTGTTTGTTAATATTTATGCTCCCAACAAGGTTCAAGATCGATGCGGTTTTTTTGAAAATTTAAATAAAAGCATTGAACATTTCGCTGTTAACAAAGAGCATAGGATAATTGTAGGGGGAGATTTCAACGTCACACTGGACTCCGATCTTGATTGTTCCGGTGGAAAACCTTTTAAGAAAGAGTCCAAATACAAGCGTTATGTCTCGATTTCGACAAAGTAGATATTTGGCGAATTCGAAATCCGGAATGTAAACGTTTTACGTGGAGCTAAAAAAATCCTTTCATTCAGAGAAGACTTGACTATTGGCTAATCAATGATTCTTCCCAGGATGATATTGAGAAATCTGATATCATTCCTTCGATTAATTCAGACCACTCGGCAATTTTTCTTCATCTTAATAGTTTAGACAAACCGGAATACGGTCCCTCCTTTTGGAAATTTAATGCCAGTCTCATCGACGATGATGATTTTGTCACATTGATAAATGAAAGTGTGCCTATGTGGTTAAAGGAATTCGAAGATATTACAGATAAAAGACTGTTGTGGGATTTAATTAAGTACAGAATCAGACAAGTTTCAATTAAGTATAGTAAAGAGAAAGCGCTCAAAAAAAGAAAAAAGATTTCTGATCTTGAGACCTCTCTAAGGATTTGTGAGGAAAAGTGCAAAGAGTCACCAACCTTTGAGAATCAGGAGGAGCTTGAAATGTTGAAAATGGAATACGATTCTATTTATGAACAGATAGCAAAGGGAGCCATTATTCGATCAAAAGCCACATGGTATGAGAAAGGCGAAAAAAGCAACAAGTATTTTCTAAATCTGGAAACGCATAAAAAAGCTAAAAGCTAAAAGCTCTGTTCCCAAAGTCTTTAACAGTGAAGGTGTGCTAATCACAGACCCTAAAAGAATTCTCCAAGAGATACAAAATTTTTATTCCGATCTTTGTAAACATGATCCCCTTAGACCATCACAGGAGATGCTAAATTTTTTCTTGAATAACTCTGAAATACCGAAACTCACTAATAATGAGGCTCGAAACTGTGATGGAAAATTAACAGTTGACGAGTGTTACAAGAGTCTTCAGCTTTCTGATAGCAACAAGTCACCAGGTAATGATGGATTAACGGCTGAATTTTATAGAGCTTTTTGGCACATTTTAGGAAATCTGATGGTAGACAGTTTAAACTACTCTTATGATTATGGCGAGTTGTCAAATTCCCAAAAGGAAGCCATTATTACCTTAATTGAGAAAAAGGATAAAGACAAACGGGATTTGTCGAATTGGAGACCAATCTCACTTATCAATGTGGACGTAAAAATAGGGTCTAAAGCTATTGCAAAAAGATTAGAGAGGGTCTTACCAAACATCATACATTATAATCAATGTGCATATGTTAAGGGAAGAACTATTTTTGACGCAGTCAAAACGATAGAAGATGTCATGGAATTCTCACAAAGGTATAATCTTGAAGGGAGAATGATTTGTATAGATTTAAAAAAAAACACAGGAAAGAGATTTGACCATTGTTTTCTTCTTCGATAGTAAAAGCGATTTTGGGATCAATGGAGTTTAAGGCGTCATGGAAGGAGGAGACAGCATCTTTCTTGATGATAACAAAGCTGTCGTCAACATATCGTTTCCAAACCCTTGGTGCAACTGTAGAGGTATTGATGGCTAATTCTTCAACTACCTCCATGCAAAGATTAGCGACGATAGGGCTTACAGGGCTGCCCATGGCACATCCGTGGACTTGCTTGTTACTAGCATTGATGTTTACAGGAAGCCGACACACACAGATAGATATCTGGATTTTTCTTCACATCATGTATTAAAACATAAAGTCTGTGCGGCCTCGACCCTTCTATTCCGTGCAGCCAACCTTCCGAGCACCATTGAAGGTAAAAGACGCGAGACTAGCCACGTTACCGAAGCCTTAAAAGCTAATGGCTACCCATCAATAGTTATTTCCAACATTTTAAAAAAGAAGTCAGCTCCGACAACTCCTCCACCAGAAGAGTTAGTGTCCATGTTCTTCAAATGGGCCGATCCATCAGACACATCTCTGGGTTTCGCTTGTCTTCCCTACATCAGCGGCCTGACTGAGCCCCTTACCAGATTACTTCGTAAAAATGACATTCGTGTGGTTAGCAAACCAGCTAAAACCCTGCAACAAGAATTTCCGTCACCTAAGTTCAGGCAGCCCTTAGATCTACAATGCAATGTTGTCTACAAAATTCCGTGCTCTGACTGCTGTTGGAGTTATGTAGGAGAAACTGGCAGATGCTTTAAAACCCGAAGAAAGGAACATCAACGAAATCTTAAAAACTATACGAGTGGCTCGAACATTGCCAACCATGTGTGGGAAAACAATCACGCGATTGACTTTGAGGGCGCTACCGTGATAGACAAAGGCAATTACCGCGTTCGAAAAACACTAGAATCTTGGCATACCGCAAAAACCGTCGGCGCAGACAGTAACTCTAAACCGTTACCAAGACAATATTCTATCTTATTGTAATTATATTTTGCTGTTGTATTGTCCATTTTTTAGCTTTTCACACTTCTATTGTATTTTTTAGTTTTTAATTTTTTCACACCCTCCCCTGTATATATTTCCATTCACGCGCTTATATTTTTTACATTCGTTAAAGGCTATAGTATAATAGCCGAAAGCTCATATTTTAAAACCTTTTTTAACCAGAGAAGGTTTTTTTACCTTTTTCACCATGTCATATCCTGGCTACAGTTCAATTTTTAAAAACGTTTTAATTGAAACAGTCATTTCAAAGACTATATATAAAGAACTTCGAAATAGAATCATCACTCCACCGACTGCCCAACTGAATTTTAATACTCATTTTGTTAATGATGTTTTAGAATGGAAAGAGATTTACAGCTTGCCATTTCGTACTTCCTTGGACACAAAATCGCGTGAATTCCAGTATAAACTACTTAACAGGTGTCTTGTCACAAATTCTTTTTTAAACAAAATTGGTATTATTCCATCCCCGGCGTGTTCCTTTTGTGGCGAAATGAACGAATCCTTGGAGCACTTTTTTATTTCTTGTCGTTATACTAAGGATTTCTGGGCTGAGGTAATAAAGTGGTTCGATAATCAAGGCGTAAAGATAAAACACCTCTCTGAAAAAGATATAATGTTTGGCATTTTAAGGTGCGAAGACGAATTATTAATCAATTATATTTTAATAATTGCCAAACAGTATTTATATTCTTGCCGACAGAACAAATCTCTTCCTTCAATTAAAGTATTAAACCTCAAAATTAAAACGATCCACCAACTCGAGACAATGATCGCAAAGTCAAATAATAAGCTAAAAGCTCATAATATGAAATGGGACAAGTACAAAAATTATTAGATGATATAGAATCTCATGTTTGTTGCTGCACTGTACTAGTATTATATTTAGAAGCCGAGGAGAGCTAAGAGGAACTGTGGATTGTGTATGTAGATATATGTTGTACCGTGTCTGTCTGTTTATGTGAATTATGTTTGTTTATGAAAAATGTATGTAACTTTGAATTAATAAAAATTGATAAAATACAAAAAAAAAAAATAAAAAAATGTAGAGTTGATGGTATTTCAATATATAGGCAGGCTCTGTTGCTATTTTCGGAGAGGTTTCTGAGTAACCCCCATACTATTCTAAAACAAAGCATTAGTCCTAAAGGCAACCCTATTGTTTTCGCCATAGTTTCTTTAACCAAAACGAAGTTTGGAGCTGAACATACATTTTACCCACCTTTTTCTTCCCTCTCTAATCAATTTTCGAACTGTTAAAAGTGAACTATGTTTCTAAAAACTAAATAATTCACATATCCGCGTTCAAAACAGTTTATGAAATTCAAATCTAAAATTCTAATAAATGCCTAAACGTGACCGTTCCAAAGCTGCTTTCACACTTCCTACAAAGAACAAAAATTGCCGTCAGTTTGGAAATTGGCGAATATAACACCCCTCCCAAAGGTAAAACAAGTGACTGATCCCAAGAAGGAGCTAAGGCCAATTTCACTTACACCTGCGTTATCAAAACTTGCTGAGGATTTTATAGTTTCTGACTTCATCAAACCGGCCGTGGAAAAAGTAGCGGACCCAAATCAGTTCGGAACGGTATCTGGATCATCCACTGTACTGACACTCATAAGCATGATACACAATTGGCTTGAAGCAACAGACGGAAACGGAGCGTCAGTTCGGGTCATTCTTTTTGATTACCGAAAGGCCTTTGACCTAATAGATCAGTCCATCCTAATATC